TAATATATCTATATTTATATGTCCATGTCTATATCTAGTCTAATGGTTCTGTTTCCCTGGAGAACCCTGGCTAATGCAATCCTGATATTTCCCTTTCCCTGATGCCCCACGTCCAATATATCAAGTCTGCACAAAATGTATCTTGTCTCTGTCCTGTTCATCTCCACCAGCAGGGCGAGGGCTGGGCTGAGGGAAGTGGGCCCCAGGGTGTGACGCCCCCTCTAAAGCTCAGTGCTGGCCCCAAGGGTCAAACCCAGACAGCAGCCACTACCACAAGCTCCCTGCACAATACCAAGGTTTTGTTCTGACTCCCGTAGGAGGCGATTTCTATTGGGGATTCTGAAGAAGTACAAGACTTTCTAATTCTCGCTGTTGCCAGAAAGCAGCAGAATGAGAAGGTGAGACAAGGTCACAGTCCTCTTGAGTGAGAATGACTGGGATGCGTGTAGGGGGAGACCCAGGTACTCCATCGTTTTCCTGCCCCTTATCTCTGTATTATCCCATCTGGGAGCACTCAGAGCCAGGCAGCACAATGTGAGGAAGTTTGCGCAGACTGTTATTTCTGCACTTTGCCAAATAATTGGTAAACCCCAGGTGGCTGATGTAGCCTCTGCTCCGACCTGGAACCTTGTTGGGAAGCAGGCGAGGAAAGCTCCTCAGTGGTCCACGTGCCCGGCTGGGAGTGAGTCCTGAAGCTCCCATGTGGGTGGTGTGTGCCTGAGGCTCGGGGCCGGGCTCAGGGCTGCTGGGGGGGTAGGGGTGGGGCAGCTCAAGTAGGAACGGTGTTGCTGCGATGTTTTCGTTCAGCCAGGAATCACATGGCTTCCGTCAATGCCTTGTCCGGGCCCCTAGAGAATGCCTTGTCTCTGGGCGGGGCGTGAAAGTGTGATTTTCAAAAGGCTGCAAAAGCAGGACTCTAAAAACAACAACAAAAAACTCATGCAAATGCAAAGGGAATACATGTTGAAGATTTTATTCCATTCATTAATTCGAAAATCAATTATATGCTGAAACCTGTCCAAAGAGCATTTCAGAAGCTGGGGACACATACATACATATCTCTATATAAAATGATATATAATTAAATATACTATTAATTATACATAATAGGCATGTAATTATATACATATGCAATTATATAGTTATATGTAATACAATTATATATTATATAACTTATAAAATTATATATAATATGAAATATAATATAATGATATATTATGTTAATATAATTATATATTGTGTTGATATATAATTATATTATATTTAATGTGATTATATATTATATATAATTATATATTATACTATCTATAATTGTGCACATATATGCAATTTAATAGATTGCTGGGTTAAAGTCCAACAGGGGCCATACGTAGCAATCTGTGGGGTATCTGCCCCCCAGACTTCAATTATCTGCGTCTCTACCCGAAAAGATTCCACCAGCTGACCTCTGCTCTCACGGAGCTGTGAGCTAGCCCAGGACGCCGCAAGTCAAGGCCGGAAATGCACTGAAAGAGCACTCGGTCATCTCTTCTGTCTATTTCTAGGACTCAGATAATTTTTCTGATACTAGATTTTGATGAAAGCTCCCTTCTCAGGGCATTTTGATGGCAGCTAAAAGGTGCCCCATACCCAAAGTTTATCCTGACAGGTGACGGTGGCATCCCTGTCCCTTCTGTGAAGATTTCCAAGTCTGTACTATGTGCAATGATAATGTTTTGTTAACATTTATTAATAAGTTTGCTCTGTGTCTAACACTGCTAAGTCCTTCACATGGATAGCCCTAATTAACCCTCAAAAACAAATCAGTTATTTTTGTCTCTATTTTGTATACGAGAAAACAGAGGCTTAGGGAATTCAGTGATTTGCTTAAGGTCACAGAGCCACCCAGGAAATGTTGGATCCAGGATTTCAAGGCGTGTGGTCAGACTTGAACCTCAGGAGGCTGTGCTAGACACTGAGTTTGAGAGAGGTTGGTTGTCCGTTGGCCTGCTTGAAATCATCCTGGAAGGGTTAGCTTCCTACCTAGGCAAAGCCTTATATTTTACCTGAAGAATGAGGTGCTGTGCATGCCTTCACCAAGTTACTGCAAGGAAAATGAGATTATGTAGAAGTACCTTATAGACTCCCCATCGGTGGGCAGACCCGAGTTATTATTAGGGAGCTGGAAAGGCTCACTATCAGAGCTGCCCTTTGGGCTCCTGGGAGCATGGATGTTGCCACAAGGAGAGTAGAATGTGGGGCTTTGATGAGCCAGAGTCAAGGATGAACTGTTTCTGACTTCCTCCAGGGCTGGAGCTGGGGTGGTGCAAAATTTAGAGGGGCAACCATGAACCTCAGTAATCAAGATTAAAAAAAATTAATGCAATTTAAAAAAGAATTCAAAATGAATGCAAAAAACATCCATGATGAACAAAATATCAACACGTAAAGAAAGATGGGATCCGTATTGCTGACTTTTCTCTGTTTGCCTCGGGCTTCAAATCTGGCTCAGCTTGGCGCAGGCTCTTAGCCGCTTCCCCGAAGGAGTTCTCCAAGGGCCGGTCTTGTGGCCTGTACTCTCAGGCTTGTTCTAGAGTGTTTATTGCTCCTACACATGCACGCTGGATTTTCTGAACGTTAAATATAAGTAGAGCAATTATAATTTTTTTAAAGATTTTATTTATTTATTTTTAGAGAGGGAAGGGAGGAAGAGAGAGAGAGAGAGAGAGAGAGAGAGAGAAACATCAATGTGTGGTTGCTGGGGACCATGGCCTGCAACCCAGGCATGTACCCTGACTGGGAATCGAACCTGCGACACTTGGGTTTGCAGCCCACACTCAATCCACTGAGCTACGCCAGCCAGGGCTCAATTATAATTTCTTAAAAGACCAAAGGACCTTCTTGTCCATCTTGTGAGAGGCTTTCCTGGTCTTGACAGTGGCTTTGCTCGGTTTGATGGGGACTGTGTGAGTCAGACCCCCGGAGCCATCTCATTCTGCACGGAGCTCCTGGCAGCAGATCCCCGCTTCCCGTGCCGTCCGCCTGACCCAGCGTGTCCCCAAGGTCCAGTCAAGACTTCCTGTCAGCTGTCCTTTACGGCCCTCAAAATGCCCGTCTTTAAAAAGAAAAAGAACGATGGCGTAACATTTCTTGAGTGCTTTCTATATCAAGAGGTTTTCATTTATTGCCTTAATGACCTCATTGCTCATTTTTTAAGCTTATTTTTCATTAGTTACCTCATCCAGTCCTTTAAACTCTCCCTGAGAGGTCGATACTAGTGGCCTCAGTTCACCGATGAGAAAGTCTGAGACTCAGAAACCGAAGTAAACTCGTTCAGCGTTCTCACGGAGTCGATCGGAGGTGCCGTCTGCATTGGAACCCAGGCTTCCCGGCTCCAGAGCTCCCGTTCCTTATGGCCTCCTCTGACTGCTTCATTTCTGAGTAACACCCAATCCAAGGAGCTGCTTCTTCCACACCGAACTCAACGGCCACCTCCTCCATGCAGTCTTTTTGGGTTACTTCCACTAGACATTTATGCACGGCTTAACTAACTCAGTCCCAAGCACTTGGTCTAAACCTCTTTTATGACTCCTACCCCACTTTTCCGTTTCCTATAGTTATTTCTGAGTATTTCTGAGAATGGAGCCCTTGTCTCACAGAACTCCTCTTTCCCCACCACGAGCATAATGCCTTGCTTATAGGAAGCACACCATGCATTTCTGCTGAGTGACGGGAATCTGCTGGGAGGCCTCAGGGGCCCAGCCTTCAGCCGCTCTGGCTCTGGCTGTGCCTGGTTCTGCCTGTGCCCGGGCTCAGCTTGGGCTGGGCGAGGGGAAGCCCCCACCCCTCACCCTGGTCAGCACACCCTGCTGACGGACTGACCCCCAGAGTCCAGGTGCCTCTTTAAGAGCATTTTCTGGCTCTTTCTGCCTTTCTCATGTAAAGTGCCTTGGGCTTTTTTGTATTGTTTCTAAACACAGAAGCTCAGAATTTTTCCTTTCACAAGGTAGGAAATGCCTGATGGAAGGAAAGCAACGTCTTGCCAAAACCTTATGAAAATTCTCGGCGAACTGCCCTCAGGACTCCCAGAAATCTGTTGAAGCCGGAAGGCCCCAGGTTGAAACTCAAAGAGGTCTTTCTATGGGGTCTCCTGAGTTAAATTCCCTTGATGCGTTCCTGCGTATTTTTTTTCTAAATAAGGAAAGCCATTGTATCTCCGAGGAAGCGACAACATCTTTTTTAACAGACCACCCGCAGCATGATTACTTTCAATAACAATGATCACGTATGAGCGAGGCAGAGACAGGGCAGGGAAACGGAGCTACTGGGGTTGGCTGGAAGTAAGGTGGCAACACAGTTGCCTCAGAATTTTGGGCCAGTTTTACCCCTTCCTCTTCTAGCCCAGCACCCATGACCCCTTTCTGCTCCCTGTTTTCAGCAGAGCCCACACCGTGGTGTCCGACTCTTTCCTCCCAGTCAAGGCCTTCCTGACCCTCTTCCCTCCCGGCTGAAGTGTGGACATCCTGTCTGCTTCCACGGGGCCTGCTCTTGCAGTCTCTCTAATCTGCTGCAGTGATAATGGGGTTGCCTGCCTTCCTCTCTACCCCAGATAACACTTTCCTATTTTATTTTTACTCAGACACAGACGCGTGGGGAGGCTGCAGGAGCAGGTCCAATGCCGTTAGATAGCATCGAGGTTCTGGCCGTTCAGCCTTCTTGCTGTTGTTTTTGTTTTCAAAAGGCAAAGAGCAAACCAACCAACCAGCAAAACAGAAGCTGCTTTGCAAATTCAGGGCCAACCGATGGTTCATTGTGGCTCCAAGTTTTTTTTTGTTTGTTTTGTTTTGTTTTTGTTTGTCTTTGGTTGGACTCTTGCATAACAAGGGTTTCTCCAGCTCGTAGGTCATACACCCTGTTTTTCTGGAGGATTTGCATACGTAAGAAACACGTGTTCAGATGCTGTCCCCTGAAACAGATGCCCATGTCTTTCCATTAGACCTTTCCTCACTGACAAGGCTATGGCAGAGGGGAGGTGACAGGGACTGCAGTCCTCATAGTTGCCTGAGTCCCCAGCCAGCTGCCCACCGCCCTGCTGCCCAGGGTCCCAGGGATGTGTGTGCAAGGACACGTGTGGCAGGGACAGTGATTGGCCATTGGAGCTTTGGCCCTTGTCTTCTCTGGCTTCTGTCTGACCGGCCAGCTGGGAGGTGAGTCTGGAGCATTCTCTTTGCTCACTTTCCCAGAGCCACCCAGGCCTTGTCTCCCCCTCACCCCACTTTGTCCTCTGAGAGGCTGAATGCCCCCTGGCAGAGGGGGTTATCTGATTTCCTCAGTTACTAAGGAAACAGAGGACATGCCCACCCCATGGAGGGGAGCTGTCTCTGCCTCCACCTCTTACCTGCCTCAGCAGTCCTGCGAGCACTCGATCTGGGTGAGACTTCCTTCCCCTTTCATGGGAAGCTTTGGCCTTCCCCTGGAGGTTGATAAAAAGAAAAAGAGGTGGGCACTCCACAGGTCTCCCTTACAGGCACCTGGCAGACATCGCTAATGAACCATGATCTGTCCACTGAGCCTGGGGAGGGCTGTCCGCAGGCATTAGCAATCTATCGGGGTTTTTGTTAGAGAGCAAACTCATGTGTCATCCTTTTTCATTCATGCAGGAGGGTGGGGCGGCTCTTCACCTGCCTGTAGCCAACGAGGTGTGAACGCTGGGGTGAGAGGAATAAAGCTGTGTGGTGCGCTTCAAGGCCAAAAGCTGTACCTGAGTCACCTGCTGGACCAGAGCTTCAAGGGACCTACCTGAATGTGGCATCTCCACTCATTTGCTCTGCTGAGTAAGAAACAAAGAGCAAAAATGCCACATCTGGCTCATGTTTTAAAGGTTCTCCTGAGCGGATGGTGGAGAACAGAGCAGGGTGGGGGTGGCAGAAAAAGGAAGTGGGAAGACAAGTTTGGAGGTTATCCCTAAAGTCTAGGGGCTGGGGGGGCTCGGTGACTCCACCCAGGGATGCTGCTTGCACGGGGTAGCGGCAGGTGGGACTCACACCCTGGGGGGTGGTTCCAGCTCAGCCACCCATGTGTGTAGTGGATGGTTTGCCCCGATATTCAGGGATCGGGGCAAGAGTACAAATGGAGTCCTCCAGCACTTAAAATGTTTAATTGAGCTAGCAAACTTTGAAATACAATTACTTCATTCATTTTGCCTTGACAACGTGCCTTCTAATGCCAAAGTAAAAATTATGATTAGGGTCTTCTCCTGTTTCTCTGCAGCAATGGGCGGGGTTGGCGATCTCGCAGAGTCGGGGCTGTGTGCCTCCACTTGGCTGTGGACCACTGGGGCGCATGCGTGGCTGACCCACCTGAGCAGACGCTGCACAGGGCGGTGCCTTCTCCCTGTACCTGCTACCAGTCTGGAGACTCCGCTCTTTCTTACAAACATGGTCCAGGACCTGGTTGTCATCTACGGTCCAATTCAGATGGAACTAAGGTAGTTTTCCCGGGTTTTAGAAATGGCAAATCTTTCTCTGGACAGTGGTTCTGGTCTCACTGTTTGTGAACCAGGTTCTGATCCCACTGAGTGAGTTCTACTCTTGAAAAATAGTTTTAGTGAGAAACAATTTTATATCATAAAGTTCATCTGTTTAAAATGCACATGTTAGTGACTTTTAGTGTATTCATAGAGTTGTGCATCCATCACCACTGTCTAATTTTAGAACATTTTTATCACGCCCGAAAGAAATTCATACCCATTAGTATCCTCTCTCCCTGCTCTTGGAGCCCTAGGTGCCCAGTAGTCTATTTTCTGTCTCTGTAGCTTTGCCTATGGTGGTCATTTCATGTAAATGGAATCATAATGTTCTCCAGGTTCATCTACATTGTAGCATGTATCAGTACTTCATTCCTTTTCATGGCCGAATACTATTCCATTGTATAGATATACCACATTTCCATCAACTGAGGGACATTTGAGTTGTTTCTACTTTTTGGTTATTGTGAATAATGCTGCTCCAATCATTTGTTACCAAGTTTTTGAGGGAACATGTGTCTTCATTTCTCTTGGGTATTTCCCGGGATGGAATTGCTGGGTCATTCTGAGGAAGCGCCAAACTGTTTTCCAGAGCAGCTGCATCATTTTCCACTCCCGCCAGCAGCAAATGAGGGTTTCGCTGTCTTCATGTCCTCACCAACACCGCTTGTCATCTGTCTTTTTGATTGTAGCCATCCTAGTGGTAGTAAAGTGATGTCTTCTGGTTTTGATTTGCATTTCCATGTGATGCCGAACATCTTTTCATGTGTTTATGGGCCTTTGGTTCTATCTTCTTTGGAGAAACCTCTATTCAGGTCCTTTGTCCCGTTTTACATTGTTAGAGAATGCTTAACAGGTTCCAGATACTAGTTCCTTATCACAGTCTGCAACTACTTTCTTCCATTCCGAGGGCTATCTTTTCCCATTCTAAATTCAACGCCACGATGGACCTTCCTAGGTTTGGGGATGCTGTCTAGGCTCCAGTATGTCCGACCCTTATCAAGTCCCAGAGCATGAGAGAAAGGAACCAACATTTATTAAGTACATTTCAGGAGTTATTTAATTCCCACCACAGGCCGGGGTACATATTATTGGTTCTCTTTACAGTGACAACACTGAGGCTCAGAAACACTAAGGCGTCTTGGCCAGAGTCTCCCCACTGGTAGGAGCATAAAAAGAGATGAAAACTCATTGCCTTTTGATTCTAAATCCGTGCTCCTTATTCTCTAGCAACTGGGTCCCCTCCTATCACAATGAGGTGACACCAGATCCATCACGATTATAAAAATAAAACACTGATATCAGAGGAACAATGAAGGACTTGGCCTGAAAGACCATTCACCTAACGTCCCCTTTATTGAAAGTGAGTGGGAATTGTGTATATCTGGGAGGCCGGCCTGGGAATGAGAAATCTCAGGTTGTGAGGCACGTGAGTATTTTTGGTAAGCGATTGTGTTTGCTCTTCCTTTTTGAGGGTGTCAGGACAGTCCCACATGGCAACTATTATTATTCCGCTTGGCACTGCAGCCTGGGAGCTGGCAGAGTGGGGCCCTGTGGCATGCTGGGATATTCCTTATCGGAGCAGAGAAAGGAGCTGGAAACCACCAGCTGGCCTGGATTTCCTAGTGAGATTGGGAGGGCAGATATTGCTGGGAGGGGAAAGGGCCCTGGGTCACGCCCTGGGAGAATGATTGGCTGTGGAGGGCCAGGAGGGCCAGCTTGAAACAATCCTCTTTCTCTGGAACGTGACACTGGAAGCATTTAATAGAATCGGATCCCAAGGCTGAAATGATGCAGTTGCATGGAAAGAAACTCTGCAGGCAACGAGGTCCTTCACCCCAGCCCGCAAGTTGCTTTTTATTTTTATTTTTTGGCTCCTTGGAAAAATAACCAGATGATCTTTTAACGTGTATAAAATCAGCTGCTCCAAACAGGCGTTCCTGAAAACGCTCAGCTTCTCCCAGTTGGAAATGACCAGGGCTGGTCATAAAGACGGCAGCAGCTGGCTGTCCTTCCTGTCCAGCTGGCCTCTCCCTGTTTCTAGTCATCTTTTCAACCTGGCACAGTCAGCAGAGATCAGCAGAGCAGATGTTGTGCGTTTGGCTAGTGGGGTGGCTTTCGAGAGAGGGTTCAAAAGCCTTCAAGTGGTCTCTAAAAGCATGCTGCATCTTTCCAGCCGGGTATCCTTATAGGGTTGTGGGGGGCGGGGGGCGGGCAGGGGGCAACAGTGCTAATTTGCTACATTCTGATATAATTGAAAGAATAGGGTTATCCAAGGCTTAGGAGCCCCTGTTCAAACAAGATACTCTAAATCACTAATTGTTTCAACAGACAGTACTGGGCACGTGGTCTGTCCCCAATACTGTGTTAGGTGATCTCAAGCACCGTAGATTTGAAGACATAGCCTGAACACTCATGGGGCTGACTGTGTGGAGGGTAGAGGTGGCCATGGGGGGATAAGTAGACCGACTATTACAGCTCAGTCAGAAGATTGTGTTTGGCTCCCCAGGAAGGCAGGTACAAATCACATTGGGAGGATTAGGGGTGACTTCTAGAGAAACTGACTTTTTCATTGGAAGAGCCACCCTTAATGCATTTTCTAAACTTCATACTGTGTTTCTCTGCAGAGGGGGAAAGTCTGGGAATCATTATACCTCTGCATGTCTTGCTGAGTGTTTCATGAATGCAAGTCCCTGACTTCTCTTTACCTGGGCCGAGTCTCAGAGCTGTGTTTGCAGTGAGCACCCTTGAGGGATGCAATAATATCTTCCTTTAGGACACATTGCAGGTGGGCTTGCTGCTTGCTATAAAAGTGGTAGCTTCCCCCAAACTCAGTGTTGCTCAGCTGTGACATAGACTCACTCTATGCAAAGCATCCATCTGGGCCTTACTGCATGGCCACGTGGTACTTAGGGGCCAGAGGAAATGATGCAAATGTGCTGTTGCTGTGCTGTGACTAATAACATCTTTAGTCTCTGACCTAGGAGTCTTGTGTCTTTTCCCAGCGCCCATGAGGCAGGAACATGCTAACTTACTAGCTTGTAAAATCCCGGCTCAGCAGTGCCCCCTTCACCATGTGCTGAAATGTTCCTTCTGTGCTATACTTTGTTAAAAAGGAAGAGAAGGGCCCTGGGGTAAGGGTGCTTGAACCCCCAAAGTGTCACAGACACATAACAACATAGTTCTACCCGAGTTGCACCATCACAGTTCTTGGAAAGATGATCAGAATCCAAATAACAGGGATTATTCTAGGGCAGAAGATTCCAAAGTTTTTTCACTTTGACAGCTGAAACATTTCTTCCCAAATAATTTATAAGAACACAAAAATATATGAAGAATGCAGGCAACTACAATGTTAAGGATAAATGTTGATTTTGAGAGCTGCTTACCTTTCATAATTTAGATGTATTTCAGTCAAGAACGTTCATAATTTTATTTTGGTGGGAGTTGCCATGTAAGGCAGCCTAGGCATCCTTGTGCTAGTTTAAACACAAGCTGTTTGGTGGTGGAGGGCTCTGGCCGGGCGGGGGGTGGGGGGCAGCTAATTCTCCACTAGCAGGCTTCATGGGGAGGCACTAACGTTTGTGGATTTGCCACAGTCTGCTCTCTGGCCTTCGGCCTTGTGGATTCAGAGATCTGACTGATCAGCATAGCATGGGTGACTTCTGAGGGCCGACTCACATTAACTGTGCTTAAAATGCTGATGTACAAACTGCCATCACCTTTTTTCAAACTAGAGAAAAGTGCCCTTTGTACTTGGCCAACATTGGCCTACACCAAGGACTTGGTGAGAATTTATGGGGACACCCTCCCCTCCACTGAACACCTCCCGCAGGGCACTGCCTATACAATGCAATGCGGCGGCACACGGCAAGCAGCTCTGGTTAATGCCTACATCCCCAGCTGGATGCTCAGCTTGTGATGGATGGACCGCATCCTACACATTCTTCTACCCAGAGGGACCAGGCCTTGCCTTCCTCCATAAAAGAAAGAAAGAAAGAGAGAGAGAGAGACAGATGGAGAGAGAGAGAAGGAAGAAGGAAGAAGGAAGGAAGGAAGGAAGGAAGGAAGGAAGGAAGGAAGGAAAGAAAGAAAGAAAGAAAGAAAGAAAGAAAGAAAGAAAGAAAGAAAGAAAGAAAGAAAGAAAAGAAAGGGAGAAAGAAAAGATGTGAGGAGAAAAACGTTAAATAATAAACTAAAAGGATAGAGCTTTTCTGATTTAGAAAACCCTTTTCCCATGTTAGTGCGTTAGATCCTGGATATGCGTGCATGTGATCCTAACAGTTCTGTGAAGTGTAGCAGACAGGTTTTACTTGGTTTATTCATGGCTGGCACACTGAGACTCAGAACGGTGGTTTGCACAGCTCGTAGACCTCAGAGCTGCATTTCTCCTTTCTGTTTGTGATAGTTTGGCTTCCGAAGGAGGGTGCCACTTCTCATCGAAGGCTGACTGAGGGAGCTGTCCCAGGGAGGAGGTGGGCCTTCCCTGTGGTCGCCGTGTTTGCTCAGCTCTGAATGGCTTCCCCTATTTAAGAAACCGTGTTAACTTTACTAGCGCTTGTTCCTGGCTCCACTACACAGCAGTGGTTTCGGCAATGTGTTGGAGAAATGTGCTAATTGCAGGCTCTAATTTTCTTCCATCTTAAAATGAATACTTGGCATTTTAGCGTTTGGAGACAGGAGTGACATAGCAGAGCTGGGGGACTCACAGAGCTTGGTGGCTCAAAGGGAGCCGCTGGGGGCATGGGAATGACTGTGTGAGCAGAGAATTAGAGCTTCGCATAAGGTCCTGGGGTCTGGGGTCTACTTGGTGGGACGGCTATGTACGTGGGTGTGTGCCAGTGCGAGGGGGGAGGCAGAGGGAGAGTGGAATAAAGTTCTGGGGGTACCCCA